TTTCAATACTGAAAATATAATACTTACCTGATACAACTTAGCAAAATTTTCGTAGGGACTGTTGGATGCATTTGTCATGCGTTTACAAAGAGATGATATTTCTAAACCAGGAACTTGTTCATTGTATTGTACAATCCCCATGATAAAGGAAGCCAAATTGAGGGAGAATATCCAGGTGTCATTTGGACTGGAAACATCATTACAAGATTTGAAATCTGTCTTCAGTTTGATGAATGACCTGTTAGCGACTAAATTCTCCATTTTCTGGAATGCTGCTTTGATGTTTTCTGCACACTAAACACATTGTTGTGGTTAGGAAATGAGGGTTTAATGGTCAATATAGTGTATGTCATGTACCTGATCTGATCCACCAACTATTGGAGAACTCAAACTGGCTTCAACAACCTTAGATACAAATTGAAAAAAAAAAGTCATTTTTTATCAGTTATTTTATAACTACGCACATATTAATTCAAAATACTTTACATTGTTATAGCCTTCAAAGTTGACTTGAGCTTTGACAGGTGCAGAAGATGCTACCGCTCCAAATACTAGATGTGGGTACTATAAAAACAATAGACAATTTCTAAATTTATTTAGAGTACCTTTCCAAACCAATTTGCAACCAGACGAAAATGAGTATATCATGAAGTATATTGGCATAAACAGGCTTTCGTGGGAAAGGACAGGGAAGCCTATCTATTTTCTATCTATACCTACCTTGATTCTAAACCATGCTGCCAAAGAACCAGGATATGAACCYCCGTATGTAAACCATCTGTTCTTGTTAGTGAGTCCAAATTTTTCCTTTGCAAATTCCACAAATACTGCTAAATCAGCCAAACTGCGCACAAAAAGAGTTAGAATTAAATTTTTGCATGATGACTGATTTTTCTTCASAAGATCTTTATTAGCTATGCTTGCTTTGCAGGCTAGGTAGGCTGTAATATATAGTACTCACGCTTGTTCACTGGAAAGTAGTGGTAAATTTTCATCTTTTAAACAATCTTTACAGACACTCTTTCCATAGAAACGGTGCTCAACAGAAAACAGTAGGGCTCTGTACTGTGATGCCATGTCCACAATGTGACCTAATAAAAATGATGTTATATTTTTTATCATATAATTATCTATGAAATATCTATATTTCTCCATTTTGTAAAATCGATAKTTTAACTAGTGAAAATAACACATTCGGTTTCTCTATATAGTGGAAGTACGAAAGGTCATTGGTTCAACTCTGTCGTTAGGCATTTGCCGTAAACGTGATGCTTAAGCTCTCTTATATCTGGATATGTGAGGCTCCGGCATGCATTAATTAGAAGTAAGCTTACTGTGGTACATACAGAGGCACAAATGTATGAATGGAAAATGAAATGGGACAAGTATGAAAAAAATCAGTCTCAATAAAAACTRAAAACCTTGTTGAATATATTACTTCAATAAATAACATCAAAATAATATTTAACTTCAATAAATATAAAAGAGACGAAATTATGAATACAAACCAGCATAAATCTCAACACCATCGAGACCACCTTCGCCTCCAACGTACAAAAACACAGGACCATCTTCTTCGCGCCAATAAACTTTATTTCTCCAAAATCTCTGGCTAAATATTCTTGGATTAGGGTTCACTTCAAAGTGATCAAGAGTTTGATCGAATGCATAGCCCTCCACCTCACCCACATTGATTTCCAGGGCATTTTTCGTTCTTTCCTTGCGAACCAGTTCCTGGAACTGAGTAAACGTCTTGCCTAAAAATCCGTCATTCACTTTGAAAAAGCTGAAAAGCACTATCAAATACACGAGGTATAGCTTCATTTTTCTTGAATAGTGCAAAGAAATCGAAAATAGTAGCGAATAACAACAAGTTTTTTTTGTCACGAGTTTTTTAGCTGTCACTCGTCACGAGACGGCCACGGGATATATACTACGATGCTTTATGGGTAACACAGGTAGCCCAAAATGTATTCTTGGTTTTCGTAAATCTACTTTTTTTCACTTTTCTCTGTCGATTTGTTTTGTTTTTGTTTTTCTTTTAATTTGCCAAATTTTTGTTCAATATAACTTATTTGGTAATCTATCTGTATTAATTCTTCAGAGTTTTAATAAATTAAAGTTTTCCAGCTATTTTTTAAGCCAAGTTATTTCAGTTCCGTGATTTTTTTGTTTTGAGTCACGTTTTTTCCTGGTGATTTTCTTTCTTGATTTCCTGTCTGATCAAAAATTTATGTACTAATCAGTGATATGAGCTTTTTCTTTGATCATTTTCACAAACAAAGAACTCTGACAAACTTTTCACAATTAGATATCAGTGAAGTTACTCGACGTAGTTAAAAATTCAGAGCCTTCATGCAGCTCTTTTGAATGAAACATCTGGCATTTTCTCATGTGCGCAGAATACTCGTATATTCCACGGCTGTTGTTTTTACCCTTTTTTTTAATGTTCCCGCTGAGACTTGTTTCTCTGCTTATCGTTCGTGATGATAATTGTGGTGTTTATTTTATTTCTATACATTTTTATCGTATGCATGCAGCTCACCCTTCCAATCCAAAAACATGTTTTTTTATGACTGTTTGACGAGTTCGCATTATTTATTTAGACGAATTGCCACCATCAGCATCTTTCTCGCAGAGAGCTCAGCCGTAACAAGCCTTACTGTCTGTCTCCCAAAATTGTTATAACGATGCCAGCTGAACTTATATAATGGATTTAAACCCAGATTTAAAGTATCTTTTCTGGGTTCTCTTGCACTTGTTCAGTCCAATCAAAAGTGAGTCGAATACAGAAGTCATACAGTTCGACGCCTCAAACTTCTCATATTTCATGCACGATGAGCTGAAAACGGGTTTGAAGTATGGGAACTTTGTGGAAATGAATGGGAAACGCCTAAAGATGAACGCGTTTAAAGTGGTGCCATTTGTAAAGCAAAAAACCCAGTGTATTAAAGAGTGTCTGTCTGAAGAGAATTGCAAGTCTATCAACGTTGCTGAAGTTGATTCTGAGGCGGAATTTAAGTACGATTGCCATCTTCTTGATTCACACATTTTCGATCCGGCGCATTACAAGGAAATAGAAGATGCACCGAAACACGACCACTTTACCGTTATGGTAAGTACGAATAGAAAGATAATTATAGGGGAATCTATATGAATCGGCCTTGAATTTGAATATTAGAATTCACAGCTCGGTATAATTTGATGCTGAATTGCACAACCTTTTCGTACTATTTGGCGCCTTTGAATTGTTTTTGATTAGATAGATAGATAGTAAATTCATCAGATACAATTAAAATACTATAAAATACAGTTAAAATAACAATAAAGATAATAAATCTACTAAAAACAAAATACAATACTAATCAAAACTAACATAACTCTGCTTTACATGAATGCCATGTGTTCGAGGCCTCAACCATTGCCATAACTCATTTTTCATTCATATTTTGTCTATATATTCGCTACATAACTTTGAGGAGGAGTCATGCAGCTGTTTTTTTCGACCAATACCTACACCTAATTTCAAACATGGTTTACCATTGGAACCTATTTCATTTTTTTTAACTTGTCTGTTTGCTATTGTTTTTTGTCTCTTTTCTTCAATGATTATTGATTGTTGCAACTTTTTATTGCGAAACCACAACAAAAAATATTTCAAAGAAAAGCAGCTGCAAAAATATGCAGTRATTTCTGAGAATTTCTGAAAAAGCCTCTCGACGGGTTTATTATTAGAGTACTACTCGTAAAGTAGCCAATTGCAAACAGTGCTTGGGAACTGAAACACTCTTTTAACCATTACATTATGATAATAATAAATTCTCAATTCTTTCGCTCAGTCTTTCATATTATAACATTTGGATGTTTTATTAGATAATTAGTTTCCTAGTAGATATTTACCAACAGTTTCAATTGGGGTATATATATATTTTTTTGATTCTTAGACCGAATGCTTATCAGGCGCATGTGACAATGGTGGAACTTGTCATCCAAACTACACMCAAAATACCTACACGTGTAATTGTACAAGACAGTACTCAGGAAATCGATGTGAAAGAGGTATACTAGTAATGCAAATATTTGCAGCAACACTCTTTTTCGAAGGTTAAAATGGTCCTAACTTTAGTGAATTTCCTAATTTTCTTCATACTAGAATTCTGTCCAGTCGAGTGTTTCAACAGCAGTGGCTGCAAAAACTGTAAGTCCGACGTCAGCATCATAATGATATTGATAATTTATTAATAGCTAATTAATAACTAACTTTAGAGTACACAAACTTTAAATGTGTGCAACACTTTCCACTATTTATTTACTACAAATAGTGTGAATTAAACAATAGAAAACAATAGAAATAGCATAAAGTGTTTTTGGCCATATTTGTCATATTTTGCCCTAACCGAAACGCATTCCTCTAGTCTACTCCCCTGCTAACGAGACTCTTAAAGAACGAGCCTCGTATCGCAGATATCGGCTGCGAGAGGAGACTACTGACATTCAATTAAGTTGTTATGATAAAATTAAAAACGTGGACATTAATAAATAATAACTTAACATTAATAAATAGGAATCTTGACTGAAATACAAAGAGACTAGTTCAACTTGTAAATTTTTCCTTTTCTAATTATTGGTTTTTACTCTAAGTGAGAACGTTACATTCTTTTTTGGAGTTTTTTTTTTAAGTTAACGCGCCTAGAGTTTGCATGATATACAAAGGCATTATTAACATTTTTTAATTCATTTCAGACAGGTCTTTTCTAAATTACCCGACAAGGTCGACAGACCAAAATGCTTCAATACCGAGACTTTTTGATCAACCAATCAAAGAGTTCACGGTCAGCCTTTGGGTACAAATCAATAACTCTGAAATCCAGCTTATAGAAGGAGTGAATCCAGCCTTTTTTAGTTTCATCGATAATGGTAATACAGATGAATTGGTTGTGTTTGTTGCTGGCAAAGAAAAAGAAATTTGGATTGAATTCCAAGGAATTGGCGGGTAAATTTTAAATATATGATAGGCCTTATAAACACCAATGGAGCGGATACGGAAATTTTGAACGGATTTTTAGTTAACTATTTGAATTATATATAGTGCTATTAGATTTTACTGGCTGACTTTGCGTGTTTCAAAACTATTATTTAGCACTATACATTCATTAACAATATTTTTACGATAACACTATAGTTCCTTATCAAACTTACTTCCCCCGCCTTTTTTTCTTTATCAAACTTATAAATAATTCATGAGCTATTTATCCAATGAGGATCGATCATTAAGTCACATGATTGAGTTTTTAAATCTTGATAATACATTGAGTCACTGAATGTGGCTCAATACTATAGTCAAAGTTCAGGTTTTAAAATATCTCATCATAGACAACATCGCGTATATTTGTAGCTCAACTGCTCATGCGCCAAAAGAAGTCAGTGTTCAATTTTTCCAGTTATTCCTAAGATTTAAGAAATTAATGGAAAGTGTTACTCAAACGTTTGATAAGTAAGATAATATATGAGCAGCAGATCTGTATATGAGGAATTATTAAAAAAACAGAGAGTCGTTGTTAACGTACAAGGATCTTATAGTGATCAAAAGACCTCCTTGTTAATCAGTCATTTTTCCTTTTCATTTTGTACATCCAGATTTTCCAAATTCAACACTCGAGATATGAAAATGTTTGACGGTCGTTGGCACCACGTTGCCGTGACATGGAGTGGGACAGCTTTCAAATTTTATTTGGATGGCAATAGCTGCGAATCCTTGGGACAACGGAATTTTGAGGAAAGATCTTTGAAGGCGAACCTGCGATTCGCTCTGGGTCAAGAACAAGATGATTTCAATTACGGAGGCTATGCACTCGATACAAGTTATCAAGGAAATATTACAGGTTTCCATATGTATAAAAGAGAATTTCAAGAGAAAGAAATACTGGAACTTTCCAATAGATGCCCGTTCGAAATACAAGGGGACCTCATCAAGTGGAGCGACATTTTACCTCGGAGGAGTTCGAGTATCAATCTATTTTGTGGAGCTTTGGAAAGTGATGACCTACCCCTACAAAATGGGAAGGCATGTTTGGGGCTATGCAAGTTTTGCCCTTAGTGGTCAATCAATTGAGTTAGCGTAACACTAACGAATTTTGAAGACAGCAGCATGAGTTTTGACTTTAATCTTTGTTTATTGCATGATTCGACTATTATTGTCTTTTATTTAGTGTTGAAAACAATTTTGCATGTATTTGCTTTGAAACAAGTTGAATGAAAAAAAAAACTTGCTCGCCATGTTGCCTTACCCTGGAAATTTACTCTTTCTTACAAAATATCACGGCGCGAAGCGACATACGGTTCTTGAGGCCGAAGGCCGAAACCTTAAATAACCGTAAATAAATAAATAAATAAATAATAATAATAATAATAATAATAATAATAATAATAATAACAATAATAATAATAATAACAATAATAATAATAATAATAATAATAATAATAATAATAATAATAATAATAATAATAATAATAATAATAAATAACCGTAAATAATTTGTAAGAAAGAGTAAATCCAGCCTCCAATAGGGTATTTGTGCCTTTTTGAAACAAGTTTTCCTGTTGCTATGACTTAACGTTGGAATAACTTATAATATGCATGTTTTTTTATCTTTTAAAACAACTTTGTATGCTCCCGTTCTTTTGCMACGCATCTTTTATATTGCATGTTGTTGTGCTCCAAAACACTGAAAGTATGGGGGCGTCAGTGCATGGGGTTGGTTTCAGGGATTCTGGAAAACCTTTTCTTGACAGAAGAAGTTGTTGAAATAGGAGACATTATTTGCCAAATAACAAAAAAAATCATTTTCGGGGAATACAACATTTTTTTCGGTATGCTAATCCAAAATAACACTGGTGCAATTTTTCATAGCTTTCTTCGCCATCTTGTAATCGCAAAAAGGCTTAAATGAAACCCCTGCACTCGCCACTTGTCTTTGATTATCGTAGGATAGCTAGAAAAGGACAATTAAGACAATCACGAACAACTGAGAAAGACTTATAAGAAAATTACTCATAAATCTCAGTACAAAATCGAAAATTCCACTTCTTTCCCCGAGGCTCAGTTTATCATAATAGAGAGTTTTAGATACGCGTTTTACTGCAACGCCAAACGTCAGAACTGATCACGTGATCACTGTTTTTCTGCATTAACGCTCCGTACGCTCCGTTCTTTCGCGATTGTGTATAAGATAGATCACTTTTTCGTGCATAAGCGCATCACTATTCCCTTCGAAGCGTTTTTACGTTTGTTTGAAATTTGGAGAAAAAATAATTTCTTTTTTCAGATTGAATGATGATGTGACACAGCTACACCGGTCTTACTATTATTTTGAAATATTCCACTTATAATAAGGTATGTTTTTGGATAATTCATATACCCCCAGGACTAACCTGAAGCTCTCTTAGTACCTTAAGCCTGATGAACATTTCTAGAAGTTTTCTAGAAAGTATTAYGTGCATGTCATCTTTCTCGTGACATCCCCATTATAGTCCTGTTACAAATAACAATGACTGAAATGCCAAATTTTCTGAAATGTTTCATTAGTGCATGATGAAATTAAGTGTTTGTGAAATCTAAGAAGCAGTTCGCGCACATTTCAAATTCGTTCATATATTTCATATCATTCCTACATTATTATTTTATATTCCAGCTAGATTTCTCATATCATGTAAATATTACTTTTTGAGGTCCCGACGTTAATCTTCTTTTTAATGAAGTCCTGAGTCATTGCCAACATTCGGCGGCCTCTCCGTCCAAAAGTTCTGCTTGTCTCATGTTTGGTGTGTCAGATGTTCAGGCATGTTTTATTCATCAAAGAGAGGTTGCTGCGTAATTATGACAAATGATATACGAATGAAAGATTTTTGATGGGTTCTTGTTGAGAAAAATACATCTTAAAAAATATTTGCTTTACAAATATATGAGATATTGCGACGGAATTAATATGGCGTTTCCAGTCTGATTTATCGCCAAGTGATAATGACCTATTCTATATTTTATTTCGACACTTTAATTTTAATCAATATTTTTTTATTGCGGCGCTTCCCCACTACGATAATACAATACAATAAAGGAAGAATCTGAACGGATATTATTGTAAAAAAAAAACTGTGCAAATAAAAGTGTTAGATGACTCGTCGTATATAATAACATGATTCCATGGAAGCAAAATAAGCGCAACCTAAATAAAAGGCCCAAAGCATAGCTCTGAGAGTTTTAACGCTTGGAATTAAATTAATGAACAATAGAAACAATACAATTCATCCATTCTTTTAATCACGCGGTAAAATGATCTCTATTTATACAAAATGCATTTGATGTGTGCTTCCTGGTGTTGATGGCCTTTAATGTCAGTCAATATTTGTGGCATATCACAATTCAGGTCAACAAAAAGCTGGTAGCGTTATATAACGATTTAGTAGGTAGTACTGAACGTCRAAACGTACCAGTCGATTTTTTACATTACAGATATATCCTTGCTAAATCGGTAACTAAGACATTGAGAACTAAACTAGGTCAGTAATCACGTGATATTAGATCACAAAATCGAACTGATGAGCATTGTGGGGAACGAAGAACGTCAGATTCACTAGTCGATTTTACTATACACGAAGTTCATTCTATACTGTTGATAGAAAAAAGGCATCGGGAACTAAACTGGATATCCTCGTAACATGAGTTTCAGTTGGCAAAGAAACAACTGCTCAGGCAGTGCAGCACCAAAAGAATTGTCTTTCTCTACTGCGATTATATCTTTGGGCTTCTGCGTCGTGGCTGCGCCATGCAACCTTCTCATCTGCTTAACGATTTACAAAGACCCGCACAAGAATCTAAGAACACCGTTCAACTTGCTCATTCTCAACGTTGCCCTTGCTGACTTGATTCAAGGTGTCTTGGTCCTCCCGCTGTCAGCTGCTTACCATGGTATGGAGGGATTTCAAAATGCGTCGTCTCAATTACTGAAAGCTCTTCATCTTTTCTTCTTTATTTCTTGTACAGCATCGATCATGAGCATCGGGGCATTGGCGGTCGACCGATGCATCGCCGTTTCTTATCCTTTTAGATATCGCTCTGAGTCGTCGTACTCGCGCTCTGTTCGCATATCGATCCTTATCTGGCTTATTTCCGCTAGCTTGTCTTTTGTGTATTTTCACGTCGATTTTATTATATACACGTTTGTTTTTGTTAACAGTGTGATACTAGTTACTGTTTTCGTGCTGATTGTTGTTCACCATTGGGTAAAAAGGAGTCTTAGAAACCACCGCAAAAGGCGCGAATTCCAACTTTCGACGGATTTTAATAAGAAAATCAAGAAATCGAGTAGTTTTAATGGTCACAGAGGCAAGATGATAATGCGTCACACTAGAATGACACACACTTTTTTGGCAATTTTAATGGCATTTCTTCTTCTCAGCACTCCTTCGTTCGTTTTCGCTTACCTATTGAACTTCTGTAACATTTGCGGCTGCAATACTCTCCATGTCTTTCGGGATTTGCACTTTTTGTTTGTTTTATTTCCAAGCAGTGTAAATCCCTTCCTTTTTGGTTTACGGTTACCGCACTTCAAGCGCGCCTTAATGGTGGTTATTTCAAGAAGGAAACGAAATAGTCACGAACAAAACTATTCAAAAGATGTGACTTCTACTGCAGAAGACGATGGCTTAAGCAGCTCTCAACACAGACGACGCGGCAGCTGCTGTTACAGGCCATCTTTAAAGCAAAAATCAACATTGGAAAATCCTTTTCTTCGTGAGATAAATAAAAATGACAAAATAAGAAACGGAAATATTGAACTAGGTATTGTAAATAAAGATCTCAATTGCCTTGAGCTAGACGAGGAAAGCAAACAGTATAGAAAGTTGGGGTTCGATTCTTCATTTTCAGAAAATAGTAATCCATACGGCAGGGCTGACAACGGCGGTTTTGAGTCGGCGAATCTTCGAGATTATCGATTAACTTCAATAGTGTAATTACACTGCCGCATATACACTATGTATATATTTAGAAACTATATCCAATAGTCGCTCAAAATTGTCTTAGTGATATATCATAAATACAAGTTGGCAAATATATGGCACGTTATTTAATGCTTTTGTAAGAAATAACATAGTTGATTGATAGGTGGATGTTATAAATACGCCGGCAAGAGCATTTGAGTGGGATGTACAATAGTTCCGCGCGATCACTAACAATACGTCGACTCTTATAAAATTAAAACTCATCACCAAAGAAATTTCAAATAAGGAAATTAAACTGAATATTTGGATGACAAATGATAAAATAAAACTGAAGATAAAAAAAAATAATTGTGACGAAAGGGGTCTCATAGTGTTGAGTGACCGAACCGCAACCATACACTTGTAGCAGGCGTTCCTTGCGAGTCCTTGATATGTTTAAGTCGAGAAGAGAAAATCTATAGAGAGAAAAAAACAACAACAGCAAATCAAAAAGAATAAAAGAAAAAGAAAAAAAAGAAAGAAGAAAAGAAAACAAAAAGAAAGAATAGAAAAAGAAACAATAATAATAATAAAAAAAAGAAATTCCCAGCAGCAGGATTCGAACTCAGGACTTTCACTTCAGCAAAAGATGTACCCCCCCGGAATATATAAGAAATAATGAAAACCAAAAAAAACTAAAAGGATGGGACGATTCCCCCGAGACATTCTATGAAGCTGAGGCGTCGAATCGGCTTACGTTACGGTTAGAGATTTCGGCTCTTCCACGCTATCCCGAGTGAACATAAAACTTAGTCTTAACCAAAAGGTCAGGGAGTGAGGGGGTAGCCGCCCACTAGAGCATACCTTTAGCTACCCTCTTAGACCATCGTACTATGAAGACACTAATGGATATCTAATATCTAATTGGGGTAGTCTATTCGGTGAAGTTTTATGCTAATATATGACGTCACTAAAATCCATAGGGAACAGCGAGCCAATCAGAGCTAAGCTCAGGAATTAGCAAGCGATACAGGGTTTGCATATCATTCTTCAGTGGATAATTATTTGATGGGGGTGG